AGTGTTGTGTTATCGAGTGTAAGTAACTCCGGACTGATTAACAACTATCAGAGGCTGGTGTCAAACTTATAACAAATTCAGAACCATGCCATCCACTTAATCTGCTCTTCCTTCTTAGAACTTTGAGGCTTATGAAACAAAAAAACGAGCAAATTTAATCACCGTAGAACTTAGAAATGCACACATTTCTCCTCCATCGCCTGAAGATGCATTTCATTTGGGATTACATTTAAGGGTGTAAACAAATGGTCTACCATGTGATATTGATAGGAGAAGAGATAAGATGGGAAAGAAGAAGGTTGGGACGGGAAAACTGATTTCTAAAAGTAGTTTTGAACAAGGATAAGTGATCTGTTTCAGCTTGAATGTTAACACCAAACTACAATGTTTAATAGTAGATTCTGCAGTATGTTGAAATATTTTTAACCATATATATAGATATATATACGCACACAGAAGTCCATTTTTTGTGCTTCAGCTTGTCGGTAAACAGTGAACACCACTGCTGTTCGATGACTGGCCCAATAAGAGACTTGAGCCCTTACATGAAACCACGCTAGTGTCTCTTATCACACAATGGGCCCGAGCAAAACCAGCGACCATGAGATGTGACTGTGCAAAAAGGGAGCGTTTGTGTGTGTGCTGGAGTGGTGGCGGCGGGGACTGCGGAGGGCTGAGAAACAAAGAGCAGGTAGACGGATGATTGATTAGCTGTGGCTGTCAGGCTGACTGAGACTCATTGGCAGCCGTCACTTTGATGAATTACACTGCTGGGGAAAACACACTGCTCTCTGATTACAGCCGGGTTTGATGGCGTGCACGCCGCCTTTTCTGGGGGGGTGTATGAGGCCTGTATATGCGTGTGTCTCGATACGCTCCCCTGCACGTCTCTGAACGGCTCTGTGGGGGATTGTTTGTAGTGGATGCTCCCAGTTTTGTTTTCATGCTAATCCGCCACCGGTGGATTAGCATGTTAGCAAAAGCTAAAAGCCACGCTTAGTATTCCGGAGGAGGACGCAGAACAATCCCCCACGCGTCCGGCTCAAGGTCCTACACCACTCGTAAACAGAGGGTGATTTGTTCCTATTTAATTCACTGGGTGACAGGTATGTGCATTTGTGTCCGGGCTCCACCTGAGACAAAGATGCACTGAATCATTTATGCCGACGAAGGCCACGTTGTGTGTTTGTGCTAAGCATCAAAATGATGGGCGATTCTCAGGATCTGACACCGGACTTGGCTCTAAATTAGGACAGAAGCGTCTGACTTTTGGCTATTTTGAACCGAAAATGTTCGTTTCGAAAGAGGCCGAGTTGAAAATCACTTTAATCTGAGCAGATTTTCAGCTCATTACCGTTAAACACCGAGCTTCGCTCATGTTAACAGGACCTCGATTACTCCAAAACGAGAGGAGTTGGTGGTAAACCTTGTTTTTCCTTAAAGCAATCAAAGGCAGATGAGTAGCTGATTTTTAAAAATGGCTCTGAATGGTACAAAGGAGAGCTGGAAGTCAACGGAAGGATCAATGCGGAGGTCTTTGGCTGCATTCATTTGAGGTGTTGGGGCGATTGCTCATTCACAAGAGAGACTCTCATCAGAGTTAGGGAGCCATGACCTCAGCCAACGGTGAACTCACTGATGACTGAGAAAGAACCGGGGAGCTGAAAGAGGGAAGAGAAGATTAATGGATTTAAAAATTGAAGAATGGGGTTAGGAGGTGAGGAAGGGAGTGAGTGGAGAGTTGATAAGGATGTGTGTGAGTGAGACCAGATTGACGAATGGACAAATGGATGGATGATAGAGATGGATGGATGAATGGATGGATGGATGGATGGATGGATGGATGGATGGATGGATGGATGGATGGATGG